TAATATTAATTTTCATATGAGGATATTGATATCCCCCTCCCCCCTTCCTTTCCCGCCCCAATTTAATCGATTAACATGACCTACGTTTTACACATGGTTAAAAAATTGAAAGCCTTTCACGTTCGAAAGGCCTCTCGTTCTATTTGGTCCTTTTAATCGGCATCCATTACCGATATATACCTGGTGCCATCGACATGGTGGCGTCGGACCCTTCTAACTCGTCGCAACTCTCCGCCAGGCTCTCATCTAAATTCCGTGTGATCCGTTGAGGTCCGTGAAAAGTACGGCGCCGCGTTGATGTGGCGCCGCCGCCGCCGCCGCCGCCGCCGTCGCCTAACATCGAAACGCGATTATTTTCTCAACCGGTTCTCCATTAGAGGATCCGATATTTTCCGCTCCACTAGAGAGAGATTGCTCCCGTAGAGCGTCGTGATCGCACCAGGGAGTTCGTAATCGCGCTTAATTGCACGTACGTTTTTCGCATTGCGATAAAGTAATACCGGTCGTAGTAAAAAAGCATCTGTTCGACAAATAAATATATGCAGAAGCAGCTTGATTCTCTCTCTCTCTCTCCTCTCTCTCTGACTCTCTCTCTCTCTCTCTCTCTCTCTCTCTCTCTCTCTCTTTTTCGCACGAATATCGAGTATTAAATGATAATTCAAATACAAAAATTAATTACAATACAACGATATATCAAACTAATGCATTGGAACAGAAAGATAAATATGCATATTAATATTTCAATGTAGATAATATATCGTAAAAGTCATACATCAATTTATTTATATATGAATGTTTTTATTTTATTTTGTCTCAATGGCTATTTAATACTAAAAATATTTCAGCAATTATTACGCGATTAATATTATGGTATTAATTTAGAATTTATGTAAATTATTTTATTTGCACTTGTGATTAATTCCCTTTTTGTGCTTTCTTTCGCCGATAAAATAAATATTTCTCGGTATCAATGTTTTCTAATAAATAGTATATACTGTGGAAAGTGACATATGAGTTGAGACACAAGACGTCCAAGAGTAAATGTCATACAAATGTAATCGTATCGCCGTATAAATATGTAATTTACGTTAATGAAGAGTGCGAAGAGTGTTTTATCGCGCGAACAAAACAACAAACCACCCACGTTTGGTAACTTGTAACCACTTTGTAAATTAGAGCGATGGCGATACGATCGCCATATATAATTTGTAAGTCATAGGATAGGATTATAACTCATTGAAGTAATGTTAATTTATCATCATAAATCATAATCACGTTAATAATAGCAATAATATGAGAGTGGCCGTATTCGTGGCCAATATAATTACGATGCTATTATCAACGTAATAAACGTGCGACTGCGCGCACGTACGTCGCGGCTCGTCGCGTGTGCATATAACGAGCTCGGTAAGTGCAATTGCATCTCCTGTGAGAGTGATTTAAACGTATTCTTAAACGTATCTGAGAGAGAAAGAGAGAAAGATTTTTCTATCTTTACCTTTCGCTAACGATGCGGCAAATAGAGTTGTACGTCGAATACATAATTCTTAAACAGTCGTCCAATTACTTTAATTACTTAGTACTTTTAATGAATTGAATCTTTAGGAAATCTTTTTTCATCTTTTCTGCTTAGAAAGCAGAATACATCCTTCCGTTTATTAAAAAAATTAACAACTGAGATCTCTTTATTTTACACACACACACACACACACACATTTAATGCACTGTTACCCGATTAACTTGAATATATTTTTTTAATCACAGCGTTAATCGTAAACGTTCAGAAGAGAATCACGCAACGCACGGAATAATGAATTACCTTTCATCGCATGACACATGCCTGCGGCAGTTTTTTTACGTCAATCATGCTACGCAATTGAATAATAAAATATCCGTCGCGGAAGATATGTCAGAATAGTAGTCTTAGTTTTTATTTTAGATGAAAATCACGACATTGATTGAGAAAACAAAAGAGATATGAGATATTAATTCGCAAATTAAATTATCTATGTGAAGTATGTAATAAAGGAATAAGATTTTTCAAATATATAACATGCAAGCGATATTTATAGGTCAATCTAGTACATGCGGAATGTTCATTAATATTACACATGTAATAAATTATTTCGATGACTGATTAATAGCAGTCTGATAGTTTGTATCATCAACAACGAAATTCATTTGTTTCTGTCGTCATTGGGAAAAATTGAGGATAAATTGATTTTGACACGTTTATAAGACTGTGCGCTTTTCTCTAATATATGTTGTCAGGTGTGATATCAAAATGATTCGATAAGTTATGCTAATTTTATTACTATCGTATAGTATGTGCGTGATATACGTTTTTCTATCGCAAATTGAGATAAGCTGCGTTGCCACTTGTTACGCTTCAAGTAATCTAACGTCATTAATGCTAATTAAAAGTCAATATTATTGAGTAGATTAGAAAAAATTTAAGTTGTTGGATAGCGGATTGTACTATCGGTTGGATTTATTCGAATGATGAAGAATTATGCATATAAATTGCCACATTGCTTTATAGTGTATTTATATCTTTGACAGTCACTGATACGAATTGATAAGATACATTTATACTCCAAAGAACAATCTGTGGCATTAATAACCTATTAAATGTGAATAAATTGAGAAAAGAAGAATGATAAGATTCTTTTTTTCAAACTAGTAATAAATTAAATTATAATTATTTAAACGTTAACAAAATATCATCTTATTTAATTCTAAATTGAATAATAATTCCAAAAAATTGATATTAAAAAATCAGTTTAATTTTAAGCTATTGAAATTTTGACACGTATAAAGTTATGAAAGCGTGATTTTCGGAGATTTTATATAAAATTATGATTTTATATAATTAAATGGTACAAAGTTATTGAGATATATTCAATCAATGCGTATGCGTCATAATGCAATAAATACAATTTCATGCAGTAATATATGTAGGTACAATTACTTGTACCTATATAAATCGAAATATTTATATGTCTCTCCATAGCTGTCAACCAGTATGTTGAAATTGTAACTGTAATAATCATATGTTTAATTTATGCTAGATATTAAATTATTATCGAAATACTCTAGACTGATTTTATTAATGTCGATAATAATATAATTTAATGACTCGCGATTTATTTCTTGATTCCGATCAAATGGGATGTATAACTAGATACATATATCAAGTTCAACTTGTTTTTCCAAGAAATCGTTACATGTATCATTAATTTCTATTTTAATTTTTTATTCTGTCCTAAATTATTTTTAAAACAAGCATACATTCTCCTTTTTTTAGATTCTGCATTATAAATTAATACAAATTCCAACCATATTAATTTGATTCGAAAGAAATTACGAAAGAGACTAGTTTCCTCTTTATAGAAATTTGCATTTTATTTTTCATGTGAAAATGATAAACATTAATTCGATAGAAACGAAGAGATTTATTATAGTTAATTTTGGGATTGAATAATTCATGAAATTTATACAATTCTATTTATTTGTACAAAATTTGTATTATTCTATCTTTGGCTCTGTCTTAAAAACAAATTTTCATTTACAGTAGCTATTTCTGAAATCTAGTCTGCCTCGATTGATGTCTATCTACTTTGCCATGCGATAGGTCGCGTTCATTGCGCACATACACAGTTCGCTTGTACATACACGTGTACAACTGCACACATACAAAGCTTTGGTCCCGCCTACACGGGGTATATTTGTAACCGCGATGGCCGCTATCGGTATCTCCAATTCAACGGTCGGAGCCAAGTGGCGAAGGTGGAGACGCGTCTGCGCGTCTCCATACCTTCTCTTTCTCTCGCGGTGCCTTTATTCGCCGAACACAGCACCTCTCTTTCTTCGACGCGTAGATTATCATTTGATCCCCGCCACGGTACGTAAGATCCCCTCTTTAAGACCTGCGCGTTTCTTTCTCTACGTTTTCTCTCCTCCAACTCCTCTCGTATCCTCGCGCAACTCCCTACTCTCTTAACGCGACGACGCGTTTAACTTTGCGCCCCTGCTTGCGCTTGGCTAAATTAAAGATATTGAAAAAAATATCGTAGAGGATAATAATAAACTGATGAAAATTCAAGGCTGAGATCTGAATTAAAGTATTTTATAATTATATGAAGAATATACAGGGTGTCTGATTTTTTATGATACACCGTTTGTGTGCAGATAGAGCGAATCAAATTGAGCAGAAAAGTCCTCTATTTGTAATTTTCGTGATTAGTAAAGAATTATTAATTATTAAAAATGGTCGAACAAGCGTCTATCTGCACGGCATGGAATGTCCACTGGCAAATAATAAGCACATAGCGAGATGTGGTCGCCTAACAACGATTTTTAATAATCAATAACTCGTTATTAATTGCAAAAATCACAAAATGGTAGAGGACTTTCCTGCTCGGTTTGACCCGTTCTACCGGCACAACAGCTATATCATTAGAAATTAGACATTCTG